CTCCCTGAAGGGTGGGCTGATTCTTTGCATCAGCACACAGCCTTCATTATAAACATATAAACATCTTAAAGATAAAGACAGATTTGCAGGCACTAGAATGCAGACCTGAGGCCCCTCCCCCCCTGGAGACCCAATAAGGGGCCACCATAGATAGGCCCCATTGAGTGGTATGGAACTGAGCCCAGGAGAGGTTAGGATCATTCCACCTCCAGCCACGTTGTCTGGAGGTGGAATGCAAAGCCACGTGTCTTTGCAGCCACAATTCTGCAGGCTGCAAAGACTTTAGTCCAATGCATTGAGAGCAGGACAAAGACGCCCAAGCTGCAGAAAACATTTGCATTTCGCGTGGGTCTTTCATGCAGAATGTCCTCACCGCTTCTGCTGAATCATTCGAGAGAGGCCCTCTGCACCGACTCAAATCACCTCTTATTTTCCATGTCACAAACCCTTACAACCTGTTTGTGGATCTTCTCCAGGAGGTTTGACGGAAAGCCTCCGGCACGGTTTTGCCCACCTGAGGGGAGCTCGGATGAGATTTTTCACGTTCACAAGCCACTTGTTGGTCCTTGATCTTCAGCTACAGTTTTGACGTCACCAGAAATTAAGCCAGAACATCCTCCGTGAAGCACATGGAAGAAAAACCAAAAAGCTGTGCTTTTCCTGGGAGGAACCGAGGGCCGGACGGAAGAGGAAAACCCTCGTTCTGAGTAGGCTGCAGCAGCAGCACAACCTCTGGCTGGCCTTGAGTCATGTTGACACGGCTCCAGATGTGGAGGGAGAACAAAGCCCGCAGCAAAATGGCAGCAGCAGATGCCCAGCAGAGTCCAGATTTACGAGGCTTTTCCCACCAAGCCTGACAAAGCCTGCGCTCTCTCTGCAGTTAATGGTGGGCTCAGCAAGCTGGAAACATCAGCCTGCAAATGCGGCCGAGGAAGGATCAAGTAGCTTGGCTGAAGCGCAAATTAGGGGGAAACCGTGTTGTTTTCAGCTCTCTTTACATAGGAGGGAGAAGGAGAGGGTCAAAGAGGTGGCAGACGGTACAAAATACTTAAAGCACTTGAAGATGATTAAGCGTTTAAAGGCAGCTGCCATCCTCTGAAAGCAATCCCCCGCCCCAAGATGCTTTTGTCCCGCTTGCAAACCACCCTGGGCATCGGGAGGAAGGCAATTTGTAGTCAAAGATTTAGCATCTTGTTACTTGACCAAGAAATCCTGCTCAAGGGCATAGGGAGAAAAGCTCTCCGCACACAGCAGTGAAGAAAAGGGGCTAAATCCTGTGTTGGGCTTCTAAGATAAAATGAAATCGTATACATCCATCTAGTAATTTGGGCTTTCTCTTCTTTCAAAAGCCAGTGTGCGGATGCTTCCAGCTACGCTCCTCCTTCGGATCAAAGGAAAAACTCAGCGGTAGTAAGCATCTGAATGTATTCTGATCCTCCGTTTGGGGGTGGGAAGGCCAGGTTCGAGGTTTTGCTGGGAAAAGGAGAGGTTCGTTCTCCCTTAATCCACATGGCTCTCTTTTGACACAAACATTTCACTTATTTCTTAAACTTATCTTCAACCCTGGAAAAGGGCGCCGCAAGTGTGAATTGAATTGACTTGATGGCACATCATGGTTATTATAGCTGGCTGGAAAACTCAGGGTTTTAGATCTCTGGCTGCAGAGCCAGAGGTTGGGAGTCCAGTTCCCCCCACTGCGCCTCTTCTGTGAGTAGAGCCAGCCTGGGTGGCCTCGGGCAGCTGCACAGGAGTCCCAGGATGTCCCCAAAAGAAATGGGGGAAATGGGCAACCACTTCTGAGGATTCTCTACCTGGAGAGGGTCACCCGGAGTCAGAATAGACTCAATGGCACCAAATATGTGGATAGGGGAAAAACCTGGACTGATGCCGCTGCCCCACCCTGTCTGGTTGGTACCCAAGACAGAAGATCACCAATTTACTGATGCCACCAACTTACTGACTACAAATGCCATCAGCCTTGCTTGTTATGTGGACTGGGGATGATGGTAACTCTAGTCCAAAGCACCTGGAGAGCAGCAGGTGGAGGGAAGCTGGACTGTGTGACAGGCAACAGCCACCTCCACAAGTGAGCCACGTTGCTCATGATCCCTGCAGGATCACAGTGGGTGGGACCAGCTTCTGAACAGTGTGCAGCCTGGATCATAAAATGCAGGTGTTGTACTTGTAAAGTTGTGGGCACTGGGTTGGCGGCGGGGGGGGGGGAAGCAGAGAGCTAAGTTCTCCCCTCTTTCTGATATATATACAGTATATGAACAAATGACACTTGGCTACAATGTAAAGCCATAAGTATACAGCTTGTATAACAGTGTCAATGTGCTGTCCCCGCAAAATAACACAACCCACAACCATTAATTTCTAAACCGCTGGCAACAAAAGTGAGTACACCACAAAGTGACAAGGTCCAAATGGGGCCCAAGTTGCCGTTTTCCCTCCCTGGTGTCATTTCTTCAGTGTCGTCCCTTGAAAAGATATACTATAATATTTATGAAATGTGAGGCGGGGGGTGTCCTGACTTCTCATACTAAAATATTTATGAAAAGTGAGGGGGGTGTCCTGACTTCTGCAATATATTTGTATTTGGACAGTGTAGAGTCTATGGAAGTGCATGCCACAAGGGGTACATTTTGTACTTTTTAACGATTAATGTATTTAATGGCTTTCAATAATGCGACGGTTATATTATTTATTAAATTATTAGATCATTTGTAAGCTGCCTCGGGTCCCTCTACGGGCAGTAAGGCAGGGTAAAATAACAATAATAATAACTGAATGGTTTTTCCCAAGGAGTCACACAGATACAGTATATAGGAGGAGGAGGTCCCCCTGCCCCTCGCCCCCCATTGCTAGAGCAACAACACGGACTGGCAGAATAGCTCCATAAAGGTGAAGGTAAGTAGGTTCCCCTTGACATTTAGTCCAGTCGTGTCCAACTCTAGGGGGCGGTGCTCATCCCCGTCTCCAAGCTCTAGAGCCATTTTAGTCCAGTCGTGTCCGACTCTAGAGGCGCGGTGCTCATCCCCTTCTCCAAGCTCTAGGGGGCGGGTTGGTCCGAAGACCGTTTCCATGGTCACGTGGCCAGCGCGACTAGACACGGAACGCCATGACCTTCCCACCATGGTGGTACCTATTTATCGACTCACATTTTAGCATGCTTTAGAATAGCTCCATATGTAGAGTTTACTGCCAGGATAATCCAGCGAAAGGCTTTCTCCTTACGCTGCCTGCTGTCTTGATTCTGCCAGGCTGCCGTTAATGGCCCAGGGCCTGGACAGCTAGTTATGTGATGCACTACAGTCTGTTCATCAGGTCCTACTTTTAGGGTACACTGGACAAAAGGCCTGCGGACATGTGGACTCACGTGGCTTACAGGTATGTGGCCTATATGGACTGGATTGTGAATCGGTCTGGAGGAAACATATGGCTTGTTTCGTACACAGCCGCACCGCCAGCGGCTTCCTGTTGGCCAAAAGGGCTGAGGATTCCTTCCAGCCTGGACTTTTGCAGGATGGAATGAGCAGGAAAAAAGGTGGATACAAGATTGTGGGAGCAACCAGGCTCTGGCCGAGCTGCAAGACCAAAGAACAGCACGGAGGAGGGGGGACCCATTTGGATCCTTTCAGTGGCTCCAGGCCCAGAGGGTAACCTGATCAGATGCTATGGCAATGTCACGGGCCGCCGAAAGGGACGATTCGGTCTCTGGGAATAAAGAAAAGTGGCATGATGCACTTTTCTTCCTATCTACCAACAACGAACTGAATTTTAGGGGTAGTGGAAAGGAAGCCAGGCAGGATGCAGGGACGTGAGGGGTGTCAGTGGGGCAAAATGCAACCACTGTCTGCGGGAAAGGGCTCAGACCCAGGGTCGCACTCAGATGTTTCTCAGCTCACTTTTCCTCATGTGACTTTTACTTTTGCAGACTTTGAAAATCTTATTTCTATGGATTCTGACCGCTTTGAGGCCTTTGAGTCTTTAGTTTGCCTTGATTCCATCAGAAGGTCCAAGTTTTCACAATGGGTTCGATGAAGATGAATCCTTCCAGGAGATTCGACACTTCCTCATTGTCGTCTTTTATTTATACCTTAAAGACGTCTTTCGTTCTCAATCTTTAAGCCAAAGATGATCAAACATAGTAAATGTCCAACTAGAAGGCGGGTTAAAAATTAGGGGCAAAGATTGTAATTTTGATAAAGCGCTGTGTAACTAACTATAATTTCATCTGATAACTTTAATACTGGTTGTTCTGCTTTTCATGTCCTCACTGCATTATAACTGCGTCAGAAGTTCATTGATTTTCCTTTTATTTCTTTTATATTGTGTCTTCATTTCATGTAATTTATTCCTTGTTTATCTGCTGTGTTTTAAATAAATCTTCAGATGAATGGCACCTGTGATCACATCATCTCTGACTCAACCCTGCTTTCAACTGGAGGTGGTGTAGGATTCAGCTCAGGACCTACCGGCATTTACAAAAGGGGTTTTCCTGCAGTGGAGGGCGTCCTTCTCTCATTAAAGAAAAAGGACATCTCACAGCAAGTTCAACGCTTCTATCTCTACCCTAGCCGATGGCTTTCTCGTAAGCACTCTGCTACCTGAAAGCAGATTTCCAGCTCCTAATATCCCACATTTAGTATCTGAAATTCTGCAGGAGAAAGGACTGCCAGCTCAGGGCAGACACTGTAATTCCGACCCCTCTTTGCCGTGTGCAGAGAATCTCAGCCTGTGACTTTTAAATCATCCCAACCTCTGAAGAAATCAATACGAGCCTGAATTGAACTCCACAGGCTCAGAAACTCTGCTGAAGGACTAAACAACACTGAATGAAGACCAAACACAGCTATATTCTGAGTTTCAGTGCAAGGGCTGTGCTTCCAATACAAAGTTCGGAAACCATCTCCAAGTGCTTACTGCCACTCTGGCTGGCATTTCATGGAAGGCAGACCAGAGCTCCTCTGTTACATAAACAAAATGTCACTCTCCCGTTGGATGACACTCTCTTTATTCAAAAATATATTTATGAGACATTTCAGAATATACTGCTGCTAAAACGGCAGCCTATATCTCTAAATTTATCTCTAGATCAATTCATATACAGATTTAAGAAAGCGCCTTGGGAAGAATCGCCCTCAACACGTGACCACCCGGAGCGGAGCGCCACTGTGGCCCCCACCTCCCGCCCACGCAGAGGCTCCAGCCCCTCCCAGAACCTTCACACAAATGGGTTTCATGGGATTTCGGGGACATTAAACAAAACAAACATGGAACAGCCAGGCTGCCAACATTGTGCTGCTCTGTCATGGGCTCGGGCACACACCCACACACACGCTTACACGCACGCGCATACACACGGGGCTTCTCCGACAACTCCAAGATTGACCAAGGGAAGCGGCATCCAGGTGGAAACTCGAGATCCGCAGGCGAAGAATGTAGAACTCAAAACTGTCCTGTGGCTGCCCTTTGAGGAGAAATGCAGTTTGGGGGGTTGGATCGGTTGGCAAAGAAGCTAGGATGTCGGTCGTTTCCAGGCCAAACGGAAGGAAGATGCAAAAGTGGCAAGGGACCCCTCAGCAAAAAGCCAAGGGGAAGGCCCTTCTTCTTTCCTCAGAGACCAGGAAGGAAGGAAGGACAGCCACCGCAACCCCCGGTGCAATGGCTGCAGAGAGGTTGGGAGACCTGCTTCCTTTTAAGAGGAAAGAGAGAAACCCCCAAACCATCCGTCAGCGCAAGTGTAGATTTAAGCCTTCACCCTCCACCTTCAGTCTCTGTGATGCTTTGGACGTTGGCTTCCCCAACCCTTGGGCACGCTGATGGAACTGAAACCCCACCACCACCACCACCATCCAGCCTCCCTGAGATCTTCCCAATGCCACAGGCTCCCGATGCCCACACAACGTGCTGTGGGAGCTGTAGCCCAAGACGTTGGAGAGGGTAACCTTTGGGAAAGGCCAGTCCACATGCACAAACCCTGTGGCCCTGTTTACCTGGCCTGCTGGTAGAGGGGAAAAGAAGAAACCAAGAGAAGAACGCGGACTCCCAACGAGCACAATCCACAAGGAGGAACATCTCCGAGGGAGGCGCCTGGTCTTCGAAATGGCCCAAGGCTTAATGCCTAAGAGATGCTCCTTCTAGGACATGTGGGCTTGCCAAATCTATCACAGCTACAGAGGAATTTAATGGATAGGGTTTCAACACCTCTTTATGAGAGGAAGACTGCAGTCCATCAAGAAGGCTGTTCCAAAGAAAGCATTCAATACCAGCTGACTAAAAACCTACACTTGCCGCTTGCAAATGCTGCAGGAGGACCAAGCCGGACACAAGACCGATGAGGGAGGCCAGGCAAAGTGGCTCTGCGAGAGCGGCAAAAGGGGAAAAAGGTTAATGCCGACTGAGAGAACGGCGTTTTGGCCCCTCTTCCCAGAAATGTGACCCAAAAGAGCAGATCTCACCCCAGGTAGGGCATGCATCTCAGCCTTGCTGTCTTCACGTAGTGATGCTGCCTGTCTACTCTAGAGTTGGGAGGCCTGGAAAAATTAAGCCTCACACACACCAAACTTATTCAGAAACAACCCATTTCTTTTTATACAGGGGGCGGGGGGAGCAAACCATAAATCAAGTTCTGTTTTTTTTTTTTTGTCTGAAACAGACACGCACACTTTGTACAGGTGGAGGTGGAAACTGGATGTGTAAAGTGGAAAGTAAAGTTAAATGTTTTGACAAACACGAAAGGGTGCCTTCCTTCCATCACAAGGAGCAGGTCCTGCCGAGAGACCAGAGGACAGCCTCTGTCTGTCTGTCTGTCTACGCTTCCTATGTCACAGTTTGCTTTGAGAACTGTCCACCATCGCGAGGTGCTCTCTGCTGGTATTGATTGGAATAGGATTTTGGGAGGGGGCAGAGATGAAGAGGGACTGGCGGACACACGTCCTTAGTGTCCTAGTCAGTTGAGAAAAGGTCCCCAGCAGATGGCAAAGGAGCCAGCCCTCCGGTAACGTTGGGCAACAGCGACAGGTCAGGCAGGCTCTGAATGTGGGATTTAAGCTCTTTCCGGACCTGCGTTACCCGAGCAAGCTTCTGCTTGTACTCCTAGAATCAGAAAAACAAACAGAACAAAAAGAAGGCATTAGAATCAGCCCTGCGGATCCTGCCTCAACGTCCCTCCCTGCTGGATTGCACCTAGGCAGCCCACCCAGGGCTCTGTCTACTTCAGATGCGAAGCTGGCTGCCCCGAGCCACTCGCTGGCTGGCTTCCCACCCTTTCTGCGAGCAAGCTTCTGCTTGTACTCCTAGAATCAGAAAAACAAACAGAACAAAAAGAAGGCATTAGAATCAGCCCTGCGGATCCTGCCTCAACGTCCCTCCCTGCTGGATTGCACCTAGGCAGCCCACCCAGGGCTCTGTCTACTTCAGATGCGAAGCTGGCTGCCCCGAGCCACTCGCTGGCTGGCTTCCCACCCTTTCTGCCGCTTGAAGCGCGGTGCAAGCCCCCCTCCCCGAGAGAGAGAGGCTGATCGCTTCAGCAACAACTTGGTCTCAGGGACTCCTCAGTGCTGGCCCCTGCCAGGACGACAGGATCCTTTTTAAGGAGAAAGGCGGGCTAGAAAGATTTTCAATAAATAATAAATAAAAATACTCCTTGTTTTCACTCCTGTTCAACCACGTTTACTCAACCGCTTCCCACTATCCCCACTTCCTTCCTTCCAAACAGGATGCAAACAAGCCCCATTCAGAAGATATGGACAGCTGACTGCCCAACTGTCAAGTCAACAAATGCTCCATAAGACTATTTACTTATTTATTTATTATTGAATTTATATCCCAGGAGTCTACTCAGGGTGGCTCACAATACATTACACACAAAACAGATTTAAAATCTACAATACAGTGGTGACCCGCATAACGAGCGCTTTGTTTAATGACGAATCTGCATAGCTATGTGTTTTTTGCGATCGCAAAAGTGATCGCATTGCGATGTTTTAGATGGGAAAACATCGTTTTGCAATGATCAGTAAGCGTTTTGCTTACCGATTATCGCATAACAATGTTTTTAAACAGCTGATCGGCGGTTCCAAAATGGCCACTGGGTAAAGAAAATGACCGCCTGCAGTGTTTTCATCTCCTTTCCTCGCTTACCGGGAAGCAAAAATGGCGGCCGCATGGAGGATTTTCGCAGAACAGTGAGTTTTTTGCCCATAGGAAAGCACTGAACGTGTTTTAATGCGTTCTTATGGGGTTTTTTGCCCCGCATAGCGACGAATCCGTATAGC